AGGGGCCCACAAGGGTCACCGGGTCTGTCTCCTGGCACCAGCCAGGGCCTCCCACAGCTTGGGAGCAGCACTAGGGAGCTGGGGCCATCTAAATGCTACCGTTAACACACTCACAACATTTTCCCAGCCAGTCAGGACATAAAACTGCACTCCAGTATCATTGTATTTGTGGTAACCAAACCCTCTTACACAGTCATCTACCTTGCTGGGGCTAAGCAAGTTCTCTTGGCACAATATAATTTTTAGCATGATTCTCTTTCCAGCATTGCCAGGGCTGATGCTGAAAGTCTCTCCAGCTGTTCAGCCGTGCTCAGGGTAGGCCTGGTAACTCATCTAATTTCTGGTAACTCGAGCTGCCTTTGTGTGACTGCTGTGCCTGCAGCTGTGCTGTGGGACCAACAGGGTTTATGGTGGATAGTGGATTTCAAAGGTGCCCTCGTCCCATGGAAGTGATTCTGTTCTCATTTCTGGTACGTGACCATAGTAGCTAAAGGCCCAGCCTTTCACCTGCTGAAATCCATCACAGCCTTGCCCTTGCCCTGAAGAGAAGCTGGTATTGACTTTCAGTTAAAGAAGGAAAAGAAAAGATATAAGAATGCAACAAATGCACACAGAGCATACCAGAGCCCTGTCGGCATCCAAGCAGCAGGAGGAAGAGCTGCAATTTTTGTAAACAGAGCACAGGGAGATGGCAGGAAGTTTTGGGAACTGCATACATCCTAGATTAAATGAGATTAGCATGCATTTATTCAGAATAAACCACAAACTATCTTGGCAAAAAGTCTACCCTACAGTAGATTGTAAAGTACTGGATGGTAGGTTGTAAAGTGACTTGTCAGATAATTCCTTGATTGGCAGATAAGAGGTGGCTGTTGTAGCGTGATTCACAAAATGGAGCCCTGGGGCACCCTTACCTACACAACAGCAATTCCACCCACACCACCAAGAAGCGGCTGGAAGCAAAAGGAGAGTTTCTCACACAACTGTGATTGGCACCCTGGAGAAGCAGAGACTGAGATGGCCCTCAGAGGGGTGTGTTAAACCAGAAAGAATGCTTTTTTTCATTTACATTCATCCTGGGAAAAAACTTGGTGTTGTTGAACTGCCAAGGCCACTGGAGTCATCATAGCATTCCCTGTTGGTTTAAGAAACACAAAGCTTGATTGCACATCATGGCTTCTTCTTCGCCTCGTCAGCAGCTCTCAGAAAATGGTGGCATATTTCTCTTTATAGTGATGTCTGTGGCTCAGCTAGGAACAGAAATAACAAGTACTGAGGAACATCTCTGCAAGCTTGGAAAAGTCACCAAGGAGATGCAGAGCAAAGCATATCTCTGCATCCTGTGTCCACTTTCCAGAACTGCTCTTCCTAAGAAAGCAGGAAAGACATGGGAATTCTTCTTTTAACCTCTTCTTCCATTTATTTTATTGATGCTGCCAATAAATTAAATGTATCCAGTTTATAGGAGAGTGAAGTTTTGCAGGGATTAAAATGGGCTGATATTATGTCATTGAAAAATTACTCAGCTTGCCACCGAATCAGCTCAGCGTTGCGCTGCACAGATATTTCTGCCTGGGAACAAAAACAAGTCTAAAAGTCAGAAATGAGTAGACAGCTGGCAGGTTGAAATGAAGAAAGAGAGAAAGCCAGCTGCCCCCTGTGGGGGCCAGACGTCTTTGAAATGAGCCCTGCCAGACCAAACAGAAGTCCTGGTGCTGGGCTCTAGCAAAATATTAGCAAAGGCTGAATCCTGTACTCCTCAAGACTCCTCAAGTATGTATATAAATGCATACAAATGCAAGCTGAGAGTGATAAACGAAAGAAGAGTGTGAAAGCTGCCACTCGACACTAATGCTTGTGTCTCACTGATCCCTCAGCACATCCAAGAGAAAGGGGGTGAGTCTGCCCCGGCCCTGAGGCTGGTCCCACCAAGGAAGGGGTAATTGCAGCCTCCTCCTGATGCCAAACCCCTGCCAAGGACAGGTATGACTGAAATCTCAAAACCAGGAGGGTTTTGACGTGGGGTTCACCTTTTCCCTGCTGAGGGAAGATGCAAACCTGCTTCCTTTCCGCATGGCTGTTCACACAGGACATGGGCTTATGCTCAGGCTTTGTGCTGCCATCATTATTTTTACCAGGGCGTGGATTTCATTGACATTTGCAGGAGTCAGAGTGTTAATGTCCATTAACACTTGGTACTGCTATCCATATGTGTCCTACTGTGTCTGCTACATAGGAGAGATTTAACAACAGACCCGAGCTTATTTGCTCACCAATAAGTATTCAACACGGTAGCTGGTAAATTTCTCCTTAACTACTTTATGAAGTTACATTACTACCTCTCCTACTGCATAGATTATACTGGTATAATTGGCATGTATGTTTTAGACTGGAAGAGTCATTCCATTTCTGCTCAGGAATAGCTATCCCAATGCAGATGTATTTGTAACAACACATCTGTGCCCGCTCTAGGGGAATTATACCACTGTAGTTGTAGTGCCTTCCTGTGTGCACAGCTCAGCATGGTGGTATCTTCCAGTCAACAGAAGACATTAAGGATAATGATGTCTGTTATAACATGGGTTTTGCTCCAAGGAAGGAGCACCCTTCCTCCAGCAACACAAGGGTTTTAATAAGATAGAAAAACAGGTGATTCCTAGTGTTAAGAGAGATTCTTCAAAGAAATTGTATCTTTCCTCCACCGAAGAAAACTATTGAGTACTTTTTTTTTTTTCAGTAGCGAGTGTCTGAAGACAGACAAACCTCTGGCTTGTCTTGATTGCCTCATTGCTGACCCAAATAGCTGCCTTGTGGTTTGGTGGCATGAGCAGCCAGTCTGTTTTTCTGGGTGATGTTGGGTGGGGGTATAACGGATGAACAGCCCTCTTCCTGTGAGCCACGCAGGAGATTGCTCCTCACCGACTTTGTGTCCGTAGTGCTGTGACCATCACTGCCCGTGCCCAGGGACTGAGCCTCTCTGTACCCCATGGATCCCCAGGCTCTTTCAGCATCTTACACCTTAGCAAGAGTTTTGTCTACATCAGTTTTCGTTGTTGTAATTTTCCTTCTTGAGATTTCAGAAGCGCAGCGCAGCCTTCGCCTCTTCAGCTTCCCTCTGACTTTAAAAAGCCTCCCTGCATCACTAACCATCTAAACGTTTGCTATTAAATTATCCATCACAGCTTCTTCTGCAGCAGAGGGAGTTGATGATACCGTCTTTATGGAGGATAAAAATAGCCAACGTCACATGCAGTAGCAGTGGGGAAGGCTGAGGCAAGGAGAGCAAAGGCAGCAAAACTTCTGCCTTGGTTGCAGTTGTCCTCCTTCACCTGCAGCCATTGGGAATTGGAAAAAAAAGATTGAGCTCCTATAATTGATTGAAATGTGTCCAACACTGTCTGAATTTACACTGAAGTCCTTCACATGGCAAGTGCTGGATACTGCAGGTTTCTCACAGCAGCCTAAAAACTCCAGCAACTCCAAATTGTGAGCGGTGCCATCAGAGAAACAAGGATTTTGCATCCATCTCCTTTCTGTTTGGTTTCAGAACAAGTGTCAATTGTGTGTGTGCTGCTAGGACTGGAATGATGATTTCAGAAGAGGTTTGCTGATATTCTAAGATCTTCATAGCAGTTCAGTGAAAAAAAAATCAATGGGAGCACTTTTCCCTGTAGGTATGCAAGTTTCAATATTTCTGGCCCAGAACTCTTCTTGCCTGGGGCTAAAGCTCTGCAGGGCTGCAGAACAGACCCCATTATCAGCTGCTGTTCAGGAGACAGCAGAATACAGTGCAGGAATTTCACATAAGTAAAGACAAAAGCGTAGGCTTTGTGTAGTTGTCATATATCCTCATCCTACAGTGCAATAATTGCTTAGAAATAGAGAAAGAATCCTTTACACTTCCCCAGCACCTTCAGGGCACTATCAGAAGTCACACACCCCACAGACCCCAAAGTGCAGCAGGGACATGCCAGGCTGAACAGCAGTGTATATATTTATCTGAGATTTTCTATGTGCAATATTAAGTTTCTGTTAAACAATAAGTGGGTATCTGCAGCATGCCTTTCTCAGAGAAGCTCATGCTCTGCTGTTTCAATGCTGTGCATAGAGCTGATGGCCATCCTTCCCCAAAAAACAGACATTTAGAGAAGCTTATCATAGAATGGCTTGGGTTGGAAGGGACCACCAAGATCATCCAGTCCCAGTCCCCTGCCCCCAAAAGAGGCACAAGGGCAGGGAGGAGAAAATGCAAACACTCCAAAACAATCCCACTTTGCTAGAAGTTACATCTGCAACTTATAAAGCAAACACCATGGTCAATAGCTATTAATAAGGCTGAATCATCTCCCCATCTCTGCACATTTTCGCTTTGACATTTGTTGTCCTTTTTCTTCTGTTTAATGAGTGAGTGAAATACATTTGAAACTCATGTCTGTGCATTGAAGCAGTTGAAAAGCTATTTTAAAGGGAAAAAAACAACATTTAGAATGGCTTAAAGCTCCTCAGTGCAAAGAGAGCTCATAGAACGATAGTTTCAGTATGTGAAATCCTATTCTGCATTTTATTCTGGTTTATAGCAAATAAAAAATAATAAATCTGAAGACCAAAGCTATTGAAGCCTCATTTTCTCTCTGCCTTTTATTCCAATCAGCTATCCTAAATGTTAACAAACCAAACTTTACTCAGGTACACTGAGCTTTGATAGAATCATAGAATCATTAAGGCTGAAAAAGGCTGCTAAGATCATCTAGTCCAATCATCAACCCATCACCACCATGCCCACTAACCATGTTCCTTTAGCTTTACACACTTTGTCTATGAGATATGCCTCGAGATATTAAACATTTGTCTCAATTTTGAGATACGCTATTCAGGAGAAAACTGAAGTTAAATGACATCTGTGAAAAGAATAGTGAGCACTTCATACCAATGAGTTTTGAAAAGTAGCCATGTAATGGCCAGTTTCAGTATTACTAACATTCCATTCACCCTTTTTCCAGCCCATTACCAGTACCAGGAAAGAACGTGTCTTTCTGCATAACCTCCATTTGGAAGGGATCCACAAGGATCATCGAGTCCAACTCCTGGCTCCACACTGCACGACTCAGAATCTCACCAAAATCTTCACAAAGCAAAATGGCTTCACAACCACAAAGAACTTCAACCATTGGGTAAGGCAAAACAACCCAGTCTGCAGTTGTGTATCCTTCACATACTGCAGGTGTGTTGGCAGCAACCAGTTGTTGCAGGTTTAGAGTCAGAGTTGCTGCTTAGAAGGTGATGACTCTTCAATGGGCTTGCAGAGTTTGCACCAGAATGTGGCAGGATAAATCAGACCTGAAATCTGCTTGATATTTGGAAACTGGATAAAGTCTTCAATGGAAAAAAGTATGCCCCTAAAATTCTTTCTAAATTAATTTAATAGGATGCAGAAATACAACAAAAATCTGGAAAATCTCAACAGTCAATTCAGCTTTCTACAAACAGACAATGAAAGCAGAACAAGAAGCCTGTGTGTTTATCAGCACTGGGAGCTGACCCTGGAGTCCTGTAGGGAAGGCACAACCAGAGCCCAAGACGTGGTCTCAGTGATGCTTCATTTTGTGCAGGAGCTGTGCTGTGAGACACTGGCTCATGCTCTCAGCTACATAGGAATCCTTGGGAGAGCAGCAGGATGCTTGTCAAAAGCTGCAGGATATGTTGGGAGTATGAAAAATTACCCTGTTTGTTATCCAGTGACAGGCTTGCCTGTGAGAGCCACTAATGTGCTTTCACAGAGTGTGAGGTGATGATCAGAAGTGTCACTGAGTGTTGCATGGATGCTGAATTTGGGGATTAGTGGCAGCTACTGAATTACCTGTTCCAGCAGGTAAAACAAATGCACTGAGCTAATTGCAGCAGAGTCTTGGTGCATCCAGCCCAAGAGATCTGTGAGGCACTGGAACACAGACAGCAGCCTGCTGGCAGGGGTGATGGTGGGAGAGAATCACATTCCCTGTGACAACTGTCCTGACAGCTGTAAAATTGGATATGTCCACAGAGGTTAACATGAGCAGGTGGAGGAGGGATGGGCAAGGCATCTGAGCCAGCTTTTGCTGATACATTTCTGTATGAGAAGCAGAAAATGTATGCAGAGAGTTATAGCCTGGGGGGTTCCTTTGAGTCATTCCTAGCCAGCTTGATGTGCTGGGAGGACACATCCATGTCCTCCCCAGAGCTGCTGTGGATGCCACGTTCCATGCTCCCGGTCACATCTCAGGGCCTCCTCTTGCACAGAAGCACCAGCTGGGTAACGAGGGGCAGGATTTGCCAACAGCACCATGTGAAGCAAAAGCATTTTCCGTTGGCAATTCTGTTCCTTATGCTCAGGCTGCCCTTTTATTTCCAAGGGAAAGAAGAATATTTACTTCCTGGGGAAACATGATTGTCTGATCTTACATCACCGAGCAGGGGAGGCTGATAATTACTCCCTGAACAGAGATGCTCTTTGCAGAGATGCTCTACGCTGATTTATTTTCTTGGTGCCCGAGGCATCAGAGTTTTTCAGTGATATCAGCGCTGGCAACATATTTATCCTGGAGCTTGTTGGGCTCTGCGTTCATAACTCACAGGTATCAAACCTTCCTGGTGGCTTCCTGACATTTCCAGCCAGCACAGAATCCACCCAGCTTAAAAAATGAGCCCGGCTGCAAACACTTTTGTAACGGTGACAGTAAAGTGCTACTATTAAACAGCCAGAAGTGCCATTTGTCCTAACCTGGTCCCTTGCTTCGGTCTTCAGGGTGTTTCAGAGCGATCCCTTTCCATCATGTCACTTAGGCAGTAAAGGGGAATCTTTTATGAGCTGAGAAAGGGCTGCGGTGGCAGCTGATGTGATTTATGCTTAATAAAGGCCCTTTAGCACCAGGAAGGAGAGGCCCTGCCAAATCTCAGGCGTCTCACAAGCCGCTGCTATTGTCCCTGGGTCAGGAGCGCTTTTTAGGTTCCATCTCCATCCCTGTGAACAAAAGGACAGCTGTATGCTTGGCTGGCTCCGGACGTGGCTCTTTGTGTGCGATTAGTGCCCCGCACACATCATTCATAGCTCTTGAATAAAGATGACCTCTCGCAGGACAGAATGGGGGGAAAAAGGCCTCTCTATTCAGCAGCGCTCAGATTAGCATAAAGACAACCAAAGCGTTGCTTGGAAGTCACAGGAAGAGATGGATAAATAAATAAGCAAACTACAGGTTTCCTGTAAATGCTCTATGTTCAAGAGTTGGATCTGGAAACTAAAACACACGTGATGCTCATGACCTCCAATACATGTGCTCCTCGAAGCCGAGCCACCCATGTGCAGCTGGGAGCACCGTGTCACAAGAGCTGCAGCCCAAAGGAGGGAGAAGTGAAGCATGCAGCATGTCAGAAGGGAACTGATTTTCATCACCTGAATTCCTGAGCTCCTCTCTCAGCGCAATGCTGTGGGGGCTCTCACTGCATCCATGCTGGCTGTGCATTTGCTTTTATGTCTGGGTCCTGTGTGCACACCGGCAGGTCAGGCAGCAAGCTATGTGGGCAGACAATGACATACCGAATTTTTTCACATGCTGGGTTTCTTGGCTGATGAAAGGCAGTTTGGCAGCTTATCACTATGTATGCCGCTGCAATTAGGCGCCTGGGGAGCAAAGTGAAGGCAGCCCTCCTCCTCAGCCCCCTCGCCCTCATCCCTCCCCCATGCCATAGGAACAGCCCATCTCCCACCACCCACCTCACCAGCACAATTGCAACCCTTATTTTCAGCACAGAGCTCCACCAAATGTGCTCTGTCTGAGCTGTCAGGGGCATAGCAGTGTGCACCGGGGTGTCCTCCAGACCCAGCTTTCACATCACATTAGTTTTCAGCTGGAGTCCCGCTGTGTCAACAGTAATGGCCCTTAGGAACATGAGTTTCTCTCCTGGAAGGCTTAGCAACGGCAGAGTTATCTTGGGAAGAAAATTAGCTAAAGGCAGCAGACATGGAATGAGATGAGTTTTAAAATTAAATTCCAAACCCATATTTAATGTAGTGTTGCTGCCTTCTTTGGTTTTATCAGTGCTCACAGTGCCTGCTGTTTTTCTGCCCGTCTCAGCTCCTGAAGCCTCCTGAGACTGTGTTCTGGAGAACTGAAGGCTCCTTGGAGACATAAGAGTGGCCTTACAGTATGTAAAGGGGGCAATAGGAAAGACAGGGACAGACTCTTTAGAAGGGTCTGTTGTGACAGGAAAGGAGGAAATGGTTTCCAACTAAAAGAGGGGAGATTTAGACTGGATATAAGGAAGAGGTTTTTCAGAATAAGGGTAATAAGACACTGGCACAGGTTGCCCAGAGGGGTGGTGGATGCCCCATCCCTGGAGACAGCTAAGGTCAGGCTAGACAGGGCTCTGAGCACCTGATGGAGCTGTGGGTGTCCCTTTCACTGAAAAGGAAGATGGTCTTTAAGGATCTCTTTCAACTCAAACAATTCTATGATTCTATGATGCTGTGATTCATGAAGAAAGCCGAGAGGCCTGATGTCTTGTCCCAGTGGTGTGGCTTGTCACTGGTAATTGGATGTGACCGTGTACATGGATGTGTGCCCACTGGTAAGAACATGCTGTGTTGAACACTTCTGACAGTGTGTGACCATGGAATGCTGCCTGAGTAAAGACATTTGTGTTGTGCATTAGTCCTTGGGCTTCAAGTGACAGAAAAGGAGCCATTGGAAAGTTATTTCCAGGAGAGCCACTAGCATGTTCCTCCCACTCTTGCATTTATCTGGCCCCCTTTGCTGTACCTCACAGACATCTTCTTTGTTTCCATTTGTTTCTGATGGGAAAAGAAGAACACTCTGAGTTTAATGGAGGGGGCTACATTTAACATTTCCCACTGGTGTTTCACATGTGATAACTAACTGCATAGTTAATAGCCCACTTGGAGGTGCAGCAGATCAATAAATGAGTCCATAAGGGACTGAAATATAATAAAAGTCCATGAATGGGGCTGTAAGAAAGCTTAAGGAGCTCTCTAAAATGAGAAGCAGTAAAATTGAATGAAGAGACTTCTAAGAAGAACAGTTAGTGTGAAAGGATCATCAAAAGTGTTTGTTAAGAATGTTGTTAATAGAGGGGAACTCCTGCCATCCACAGAGGTACTCTGCCTCTCTGCTTCATTATGGAAATGCTTCCCTCAGGCTCCATCTGTCTAGTTTGCTGCGGCAGATGACGCTGACCCAAAGGGAATTCATTACCACACTTCTCCAGTGGCAAGCAAAGCCTGGCTGCAAATCTGACAGCACTGCCTGATGAGTGCTGCTTGGAGAGGTCGTGACAGAAGAGGTTGCAGATAGGACTCCACTGTCAAAAGGGCCCTCATAGGACAGTTTCTGCCTCCTTCTCATGCAGCTGAGCATCCTGGCAGACAGCAGGAGCTTTGGGAGGGTACTAGATTGCTCATGCATGGTTTTTGCTGGAAGCATGCTCCAACAGGACAGGAATCCCAGCACATGCTTGGATCACTGTTCTGGGTGCAGGCTGGAGGTGAGAGCTGTGTGCAAGGGAGATGTCTCCACTGGAGAAGTCAGGCAAAATGCTGCAGATCTCAAATAAAGGAATATATGTATATATATATATATATATATATAGATGTATATAAAATTCATGTAATCATAGAATTGAGTTGGGAGAGAACCCCCCTGCAATGAATAGAGACACCTACAGCTCCATCAGGTGCCCAGAGTCCCATCCATCCTGATCTTGTTTGTCTCCAAGGAATGTCTGCAAAGGGGTTTAGGCCCAACCTATGGGTAAAGCCAGGGTCCGCCTGAACATCAGGTTGTGTGGTACCTCTTAAGTACACCAGTGAGATAGATAAAATGAATCATCTCATGTCTCCTATGTGTCATAAACCCAGAAGAATAGAGGCAGCGGGGAGCTGCACGTGAAGCTTAGACTTTATGAGGGAGGATTAGCACAGTGCCATGGGTTATTTGGCAAGCCCCATCTCAGGTTTGGCTGAGTTGGGTCAGGCAAGCAGTTAAAATCCATTTCTTGCCAGAAGACTCAGCTACATAAAAACTGTCAGTAATGTTGCACACCCAGATGAGTCAGACTCGGAGCATCTTAAACCTTATTCCACAATAGAAACGTGATCCTCAACAAGGCCCTCACAACTGTTACAGGAGTGTTTATGAGGGTACATCATGCTGCAGGTTATCCTGGGTACCCAGTAGCCCACCTTGGCACCAGCCCTCAGCTCTTCAGCTGGGATAAGTGGGCCTGAGGAAAGGGGATGCTCAACATTTCAACCTAATAAAAGCACTCTGAGCTACAGGAAGTCTGGGAATGCCTAAACACAGGTTTTTTCCAGCTTGCTGTCCTTCAGCGTTGCCAAACCTGACCTTCAGCCCTTAAGGAGGTTTATCAGCACTTGGGTCCCTGGCCAAGGTCCTCCTTGTGCCTTGGCTGCACTGCAGCAGGCACACTCCCTCCGCAGGAGCAATTTTCACATATTTGTGAAGCTGACTTGCTGGACTTGTGATTTTTTCCATCTTTATTAAACCAGGGAGTGACTTTCCACTGCTCTCGAGAAGAAAGTGGCAGGAGATGTGGTCCTTAGGTGCACACACAGCCACACATGTTGGAAGGAACACAGCTGCACACAAGGTAATGGGGCACATGGATGGGCAGTGGTGTAGCGATGGAGATTTCAAGCACTGACTGTGGATTATAAACCTCAAGGCAGCAGGAAGCCCATGGCTCATTGCCCATCTCCTGCTGGTGCCATGTGGGCACTCTTCACTTGAATTTCTAACCTACTTTGTACTTAAAAAGCTTCACCTGTATGTGGGCTGCAGGCTTTGGTTCACAGCACGAGAAGCTACAAAAGCTCCAGCATAGGTTTGAAGGCTCTCCCAGCTGCCTCTGTGGTGCTCACAGACCATCCTGAAGATCTGAAGCTTCTGGATGGAGGGTTTAGAACTGGGTGCTGCACAACTTGTTCCTCTGCCTCCAGCTCAGCAGGAATGGTCTGCAAAATACCTCAGAAGCCAGCAGGGAGGAGGCTGTCCTTTAAGGGAAAGGAAAAAACACAATGTTTTTTTTCATGCAGTTAAAAAATCAACGAATCCCAATTGCTGCTGTAGTAGGGTGAATTCCCACCATGTTTACAAACATTCACAAGCATAGCATGGTAAAACAAATGCCACCAGTCCTCAGGCAAAATGCATCATTCTGTATTTATTATTTTCCCTCACACACAAATATTTGTGCAGCCTTTGTCTTTGCAAACTGCTGAGGGAAGGCAGTGGGACAGCCTCTCCAACAGCACATCCCAAGAGTGCATCCCACCCATGTGGGTCACTGCAGTGCCTGGAGCACTGTGTAAGCACAGAGATAACCAAAGTGATCAGGCTGGGACCAGCCTGGTACCCAGAGCGGCAAGATGGCCCCTAAAATGTAATTGTGTACAGGCTACTGTGCTTCTGATGGCTATGTTTGTTCCAGATAAAGCCCGAAGGGTCTTCTTCTTGCAAAGAAACAATAAGTTAGAGTTTATAGCTTCTCTCTTTGCCTTGATAGATACAGATAACGCCTGCTTATCCTGCCCCACAATGTGCCAACCAATTCTGTGGTGTGGGAGCACCCCTTCCAGCAAGGCAGCCTGTCAGGAGCCACCAGCTGCATGCAGAGCAGATAAACACAGCAGTGGCTTCCTGCCAGCCGAGGCAATTAGTAAGGGGTTTAGGCCATAGGCAAATGGCATAGGAATATAAATGCTCTTACAGCTCAAAGGAATCTGCTGCATTACCTCTGCCACCAGCCCCTGTGTTAGGGAGCTCCTTTCTCCCAGGCGCTCGCCAGGGTAGGATTCACATGAGGATGTGGCTGCGCAGAGCTTTGGGCATCCTCAGGCAGCTCCACCTGAGGAGGATCAGTTCATGGGGTTACCGGAGCTGGCCCAGGCCAGGGTGCAGTGACTCAGGAGCTCCCTCTCTTCCCAGTGTTTGCACAGACAGAAGCGCTCAACGCTCCCCTTGGCATGTTGCTTACAGGCCGGATGCTCACAGCACACAGCCATTCATCCGAGGAGTGCTGCCAATGCATGCACTGAGCCACATGCAGCAATGAGGGGGCTGGTGTCTGGCCCTCAGCAGATGTGACAAAGCAACAGGAACACATGGCACGTGGAGCTCTGATTTACTTCCCCTTGCAGGAGGTGCACTTGTTGGTGATCAAGGGCACAGCACTCCGAGCTCAGTGCACAGCCTTTTCAATCCAAGCCCCTGGGACTAATAAAACATTTGACCTAGTCCCTGCAGGGCCTGCCAGGGACCCACAGCCCTGGATGGGGATTCCTTGCTGTAGGGGTTGGGTAATGTTGGTCAGACACATTGGTTTTTATTTCCTATCCGCAGTGAGCTGTGTCCAACTCCCAGCCCATCTGCTGGCTCTCTGGCAGCCTGGAGCACCGTGTGCCCAGGTCAGATGGCCAATGGCTTCACCCACGCAGAGGCGCAGCTCTGAGCTGTGCCCTCAGCTGCTGGCTCTGCCTCCCCATCTCCCATGTCACCAGCCTGTGCCACAAGCCAACCCTGCTTATGGCTTCAGGCCATGAAAAGCATCTCCTGCGCAAACAAACCGGAGCATCATTTGCAGGGAGCCTCCACCACGGAAGGATACTGAAATCACAGAACCTGGGCCTGCTTTGTGGCCCTTCCCCAGCTGCAGCCCCAAGAGAGGCGGCCCCGCTCGCTTCAGCCGAATAAAGGAGCGAGAACAACCGGCCCTGATTAAAAGCATTTTTCTAAAGCGCTCTCCGCATGCAAAGATTTGGTTCAAGGAGCATTAAAATCACTGCTGTCAGCTCAGAAACAAGGGGCTGAGGCAAATCTGGGCCGCTGGCATTGTGTGAGGGTTGCCATGGCAATCTCCCAGAAAGGCTGCTTAATAGGCTTTCTTCCCAGGAAACCCAAAACTGCCGCTTGCACTCTGCGGAGCAGCACGGAATATTTTCATGAATAGCATCTCTGTGGAACATTCTGTGGGCTGTTTAGGGCCTCCCTTCAGTCATGGGGTGGCAAATAAGGGGTTGGAAGATCACCCAGCGGTGGCTGGGGACACACAGGGGGACAGGAGGGCTTCCTGCTGCAGACCCTGCCCAAGAACACAGTGTGAGCTGCCTACAAACATGTCCTTTGCACACGAGGAGATGCTTTAGGAAAGAGAGAGGTTGTCCCCAGTCCTGTGACTCTGCACATCCTACCCTCAAGTGCAGCTGAACGAAACGTGCTGCCCTCTCCCTGCTCTTCCCTGCAGCATTTACCGTTGTGAAATAATAATGACATCAGCTGAAATATTCATGGCCGTTAGCTGATGGCGCTCAGCTTTTCTGAAGTGGGAGAATACTGGCGACTTAGGGCTTACCTGAAAAAAAAACACCCAACAACTTCAGTGTTATGGATTAAGGAGACATTTTATCTTAATGAAAAGAAAAAAGAGACACAGGATTAAAGAATGAGACAAAGGGAAGATACCTCTCAGTTCTGGCAGAGCTTCATTTCGTGATGCCTGGAAACACATCAATCCCCCAGCCTTCTGTTCCTCCGTGCCACCTGTAAGCTGCTAACATTACAAGAACTTATTTACTTTCTTGGATACTACATGATTTAATTATTTTGATGCTCTTGAGTGCACGTTAGCAACAGAGTTTGTAATCTACCTTAAAGGACTGACTGTCAGATATGTGCTTGTGAGTGTTATCAAGAAAAGCAGAAGTCACCCCACAGTCTGGCATGTGGCAGGGATGATTCTCCTTTCTCTTGAGCAGTAGTACTTTATGCTTTGGAGCAAAAAGACATGAGTTTCTCTCTGCTGAAGCCAGGAAATTCCACTTTATCTCAGTGTGTAGCTCAGAGCTCACCCACAAGACTTAAAAGGTCATGAGTGAGGCTTAATCTACTGTACTTTTTGCTGTAGCTCTGTTTTGTGTTTCATCTGCAGTCCTAGTGCTGCTGCCTCTTCGCGCAGTGATAATTAGAGCTCGGTTTAATATAACCTGTGTGCATTATAAAAGACAGCTGTGCAGCTGGGAGAAAAAAAAATAAAACCAGAATTACGTTACATCTAACGATGAGAAACTGTACAAAAATGACTTCAGATGAGTCAGTATAGGAAACAATGGATGCGGATCTGAAGGCTTCTCTCCCCACCGAGCTCGCTGCCGTCTGGCAGAGTTCTGCCATTTCCCTGTGTTACGTAAAGAGATTGCTGCCCTCCCTGCATTAGGAGGAGAAGCTGAGCTACTAATTTTTAGTTTCAAAGCCAGGCTCATTATGAAATTGAAATTAGAAGAGTGTGAAGACCTTTGCATCTGTGGTGTTTTTTGTAGGCTGTTCTCAGGGAAGTTTCAAAGACCAATGTCAAAAAGGGAAAAAATGGCCAGTATGCCTTTTGATTTGCCCGGGTAATGCAGACAAGACCGGTGTAGGAAACCCCAGAGAAGCTACAGCAGCCCTTCCTATGTCATTAGTGGACTGTGGTGTGACTCCTCTGTAAAGAATTCATCAAACCATCATTTGGAATGGCTGAGAAGAATGGAAATATGGTATGTGGAAATGAGCAAACCCCCGAGGTCCCACAGCAAACCCATGAAGATGCCTTCCATTTCAGTGCTGAATGTTTTCTTAAGTAGATTATATAACTTAACTAGGTTATGCAATGCTCCAAGTCCAGAAGTTGGACTGTTCTTTAATATTTGAGGTAATAGAAAGAAGGAACAGAGGCAGAGACACAGCTGCTTTGTTGTACTCTGGTGTGCAGTGGGAAAACTCATCCTGGCTGCCTACTTCAGCTCCTGGTACCTGGCTACAGCACAGCACCATTACTTTATCTTTCAGGCCCTTGGGGTAGTTAATACCCCAAAGCATCAGCTGCCTAATTCTCAGAAGCTATGAAGCACCCATCATGTTAGTGAGGTGTTGTTCTTTGCTGCCACAAATGGAGAAAAGACTGCAGAGATGGTAGAAACTATAGGAACTCTAGACCCACAGAGACCTCAGACAGGTACCTAAATTGAAAGCTGCAGTGAATCCAATCTAAAAAATGCAATTTACATGTGATTAGAATTCACTTGTCTAAAATGCAGTTGTTACAGCACTATTTTTGGCAGGCTTGGGCTCCAACAAACTCTTTCCTTCACACTGTCAGAATTACTCATTTGCATTTCCCATTTTCTCATCTTTGTTTCCCTCCAGCCCTGAATGTCAGAGAATCAGAGGATTATCTGTGTTACCCGGCCATGTGGGTGCCTGAGCACTACAACCTGAGCCTCTAAGAGATCTTGTATTTGGACAGAAACATGGCTGTATTATCTGAATAACCGGGGCTTCCCCATATTCACAAAACCTATTCTTACAGCAGACACGAGAACTTAATCCACTCCTTTTTACTCCCTGAAGATTCAACCAAAGTTTATATAGCGCTGGCTTGGCTGAATGCATTCATAAATTGCCACAAAACCTCCTTTGAAATGGCAGCGAATGCAGTCGGCTGATTACAAAGGATGAGCTCATGCTTTTCCCTGTAACAAGCGCCGCATTGTTAAGGGCTTCAGGGACAGGAGTGGTGAATGGAAGGAATACACAGAGCATCAGGGTCAGGGGATG